TCCTAAGAAGGCATGAGGAAAGTCAAACATCTCGCGTTAAAACCTGGTTGCACTCTGTTTCATAAAAGGTAATTTAAAAGAACAATAAAATTGTATAAGAAAGGAGTTGTCTATGAATTCGGATGAGGCCTGGAGTTGCTAACGTAGCCACACGTAGCACAACGCGGTAAATGATTTTTAACCTAATGAGCTAACAATGGTGCTAACAAGGTCAACTATGCCATGCTAAGGAATTAAAGCACATAATCTTTGCTTCGCAGTTCGGAAAAAAAACAAGGTGACATTTGTTTTGTGTCGAGAAATGAAGACAAGCTTGACAAGATTGCACCTGTACCACGTTTATTTCTGAGTCCCTTCAGTAAGAAAAAGGAGAGGGGCCTTTTTATGAAATGTGCGTAAGAATCTCTCTAGATATATAAATGACTCATGCTTGATATGTAGATATTGTAGTAACAATGTGGTCAGAAGAAATGCGTTCAGTTCTTCAGATAATGTGTAGCAGTAATGCAGATACAACAGGGATCCACACTCTACAGATATGCTGGTCAGATATCACATAAGCATAGATGTGTGTTAGTTAACTCACCTAAAACATATGAAATATCACTAGATTGTCACAGCGAGATCAACAAAGGGGACAAGACAAGATGATTGCTGGCTGGCTCACTGGAGGTTAAAGTGTATTCTTTTGCCTAACTAGTTGAAGGATAGGCCAGACGTCTGTTGTAAGACTACTATAAAAGTCATGTGCATGAATATATGACAATAGCTTAAGAGAGACAAAGCATTTTGTTCAGATTAGATATAACGTTATCCTTCTATAAAACCTACATTGCAATTTATTTTGTTTTATTTATTTTAGATAATGCACTTGAAACCCCATAGTGGCTGCAGGAAATCTCTGCAGCCACTATGAATGGGAAGAAGAATGGGACTTCTGTTTGGTGTCATCATGGTGAGTACAGCAGAGATTTTTGGGTTTTGTTGATCCGTGGTTAATGCATATTAATACAAATCAGATTTTGTGTATGTTTAGGTATAATGGCTAAATGGAGGTGATTACACAAGGGGTCTTGTGTCCACAGCAACATGCTCTGTTATTTTTGCTGTGAACAGTAAGACACTATTTTGGTTGGCATTAGCTGTGGATTGCAATTGCTTTCATATTCAGATCTGGTTTCGGAGCTACCATTGTCCCAATTATCTTGTTGGTCAGGTATAATGAGAGTGAAGTGGGATTGTTGATAACTGTTGTGAGCTTGTTTTAATTCAAATGGCGTGTGATTCTTTAAGGCTTTACGTTCGATTGCATTTTTGTGTTGTGTTTCACTACTCTGTTTAATATTGCTCAAAATTAAGGTATTACATTGTTGGTTTAGGGCTGTAATAACTATTTTGCCTATCAATTAGTTGAACTTAATCTCAACTATCATTGATTAGTTGAGATTAATCAATCAAATAGTCACAATTAGTTTGTAAAAAAATAATAAGACATTTTTAGTATGCTGGTTGCATGGTTTGTTGCATACATGCATAATATATGCTACATATTTATGTAGGGGGATGATGCTTCATGGAGATGTCATTGAGATTAGTAAAACTAATAATTGTCCAACTCCCCCTGCTCAACATTTCTTGTCCTAGGGCTGTTTTTTTAATGCCCTACAATAAATAAGAGCTCAATTCACCACGAGGTAACTATTAACATGCACAACTATATCCTGACAGCTGGGAAACAACAGAGCAGCTCAATAAATAAATACATTACCAATAAGGAAATAGACAGAAAGATGCAGACAAAGTATGCATTTGTTTGATATGCACATTGGCTCTCATTATAGCTGAGCATGTGCTGCAGAGCTATTATATAATGAGCTTAAGGACAATAAAAACTAACTGCTGCAGCAAGGACAATTATCCATTACATTCCTTGGCAGTGATAACCACATATTGCTATTTGAAGATAAAAAAAATCCTCTTACAGTTACATTGCCTGGACACCATGTTGAATTGTCTTAACAAGCTTATACATTTCAATTATTTCTACAAATGTATGAGCCAAAAAGCACTCATTAATTGCAGTGTGTTGGAATCTCTGCTGTGCATTTAAATAAATCTTTAAAGAAAAGCATTAACATAATTTCTCATTTCTATAATTTGTCCTTGAAAAGACTGCTCTTGACATTCACAAATGCAATGCCTTTTTAGCAATGGGACAGGAGAGGCAAAGTGAAAATTGTGTAGAGAATGAGATGGGGTCCATGAATTTTAAGAAAGGGAATATATCCATAGCCCTGGCACCAGACAATGAGTTGAGGAAGACACAGGAGGAGAGGGAAGAGATCAGCATGGCAGCTAATGTAATGAATAATATCTCAAGTGTAAATCCAGCCAATTGAACCCAGGGCTCGCTTCACCCTCTAGCTAGGCTAAATGAGTTTCCATGGGAATGCGGATGAAAGCATCACAGACGTCTAGGTCAGGCATATTGGAAGAGGGAGACGAGGAAGGGTGTATGAAATGGAGTCCTCAGGGGCTGGTTTGGAGAGATTTGCACTTGTGCTAAGCCACTTCAGATGTGAGCAGAGGGTCTAACAGCCTTAAACTGGAGCATCAAGGTATGTGTGTAGGTCTGTTGTTCGGCTGTGTAAGCGCTGAGAGGGCAGGATATGACCCAGAAGGGTATGTTATGCCTTTACAGTGTTGAATTGAGGTTATTGTTGAAATGGATTGTATGTTTTCCTGCTTTCGTGAGTAGATGAAAACATTACATTAAAAAGTACATAAAACTCTACATGGTACATAAAACTCTACACTGCTACATGGGCCTATAACAATTAAAAGTGAGATGTAGCCATAAACAATAATATTGAAATGCACTGAAACATTTACAATATAGTAGGCCTTTAACAACTCAGTTGATTAATTTCAACAAATCAATTGACAATAATAATTTAGTAATTAATTCATTTATTTTTTAACCTTGCATAGACTTAAACTTGCTGTTTTATGACTCAGATGATTCTATAATGATCGCAGAATGAAATTATACTGTAGTAAGTAAGTAAGTAAGTAAGTAAGTTAGCTTTATTTATATACCGCCTTTCACAGACCAGAGTCACAAAGCGGTTTACAATTGTTATTTTTTGGGCACTTGTCCTCTCACTCCACACAGAGATGGGAGCGGGGTCGCCGAACAGGAGGCGCATGCCAGATCTATTGTACATATTTTTAGTGGTAGGGGAAACCGGAGTACCCGGAGGAAACCTACGCACACACGGGGAGAACATGCAAACTCCACTCAGAAAGGCCCTGGTCCGGCCGGGATTCGAACCCAGGACCTTCTTGCTGAGAGGCGGGAGTGCTATCCACTCAGCCACCGTGCCGCCCTGTACCTCTAATAATGTTCTTCAGGGGCATCACTAATCGTCCAACTAATCGATTATGAAAATAATGATTAATTGCAGCCCTATAATCTAGCAGTTTAATTGTTAGTTTTTCACCAATTATGTAAATGTCTCATTTTTTACTGATAACACTGACTGTTCAAGGACAAAAAAATATTAGGATTTATATGGCACAAACTGAGAGAAAACATCACATTCTGCTTTATAAACAACTTGATTAATCAAAGGAATACTCACTAGATTAATCAATTATCCAAATAATTGTTTGATACAGGCCAAATTGTAACACAAAAATCTAATATCTTCCCAGCTTTTTCATCTCCAGATTTTCTTCATCTCCAAGGAAATCTCCAAATTACTGTATAATCCATCAATTATTGAAAGATACTTTTATGCAGTAATTTTTGTGACAAGTTTAGAAAGAATTGATGAGTGTCCTGATTAAAAATCAGTATGTTAAACAGCAAGTGCTAGCTAAGTTCAAAGTGACACAACAGATATATGTGAGTCAGATATTACCTTGACACAGTTGGGCTGTAGAAATTAGCCACTGTCTGGATTATTAAAATAACAGGGTACATTTCATGTGATTTGGCAGGGGGAGACAGTGTACCCCCCCACAAGTCTAATTGTCCACTTTAACTACTTTCTTTGAGCCCTCAGCATCAGTCACATTGCTTTCTCCCATTAGAGTAGAAGAGAGGGAACCGGCTGTCCACTGAGTCCACCTCATTTATTCTAATGACCTGCCAGGCCACGACATGAACATGTTAAAGTTATGGGACAGTGCGACATGACAGGTGCACACAACCCTGTCAGATATGCGTAGGTCTAGTTAGAGCATACAGAGCCTTCCATTCAAGACATAGACTTCTGCTAGTTGGATATTTGTCTACACAAATATTACAATTTCTTTATTCTAGTATTGCTAGATAATTGGACTATATTGTATTGAAAGAGTGTATGCAAATATATTAACAGACTAATGGTACTTTCAGACCGGATCATGCGTTGCGTCGGGTTTCAATGCAAAGTCTATGGTGACGCGCGTTCGACCGTCGCAACGCACGGACCTCTCGGCACGCACAAACGGACTGTTCAGTAGACACGCACGGACTTGGCGGGAAAGTCAAAGGGGTGGAGCAGGAGCGAAAAATCGACGCCGACAGGAAATGGATTCTGCTCATCCTTTCCTTGGGACGTTCGTGCAACAACCAATCAGAGAGCCGCAAAGTGGGGGACATTAGTGGACTGAGCGAGCAGACTGAAAATACTCGTAAACAGCCAAAACAGGACCCACAACAGCGGCTTCACCAGAACTCAAACCAGGGTTGACGATGGGGGACTGTGTGCTTGTGAAAATATGCGTTGTCATGCTCCCGTGACCTTATGCAACTGCTTTGAGTGTGTTCGCCGATGCGGAAATACCGTTTAATAATATGAAATAGGGCTGGGTCATATCATACCTTTCAAGGTAATACCGGTGTAATGTTATGCTACAATATGAATTTGACATATCGCGATAGAACTTGGTCTTAACGCGCGTGCGCAGTACCAATGTTTTCATGCAGTCTAGCACATGGAGTGAGAAGCATGGCGGCGACCGAGGAGGCGGCATGCACAAGTGAACCAGAATTGGTTTGCAAAAAAGGTGCAACATCCGTGGTGTGGAGCTGGTTTGGTTTTCGCCCGTCGGATACACGGCAGAACACTATTTTTTGCAAAATATGCAAGCGGTCCGTCGTGGCGAAGGGAGGAAACACCACGAACCTGTTTCACCATTTGAAGCAAAAGCACTTACTGGAGTACAACAAAGCTGTAAAAGCACGCGAGGAGGCGTCTGCATCAACTGATGATGTGGTGAGACCAAAGAAACACACTCAGCAAACAATCGGCGTAACTTTAAATAATGGCGCACCTTATGAAAAAGGTAGCAAACGCTGGGGGGACCTAACTAATGCGGTGACACGTTGTTTGGCCAGGGATATGATGCCCATTCAGAGTGTCGAAAGAGAGGGCTTTTCGAAAATGCTTAAAACATTTGATCCCCGCTACAAGCTGCCCTCCAAGAAGTACTTTTCTAAAGTCGCCTTGCCGGCATTATATGAAGACGCCCGTACTGAAGTGTCAAATGCACTCTCTTCGGTGGAGTTTTTTGCGTCCACCACGGACATGTGGTCTAGCCGCACATCGGACCCATACCTGAGTCTCACAATACACTACGTGGACAAAGACTGGAAGCTACAAAATAAGTGCCTTGAAACAAGTTTCTTCCCTGATGACCATATGGGGGAAAATATAGCGAAGGGCTTAAAAGAATTCCTCAACTCATGGAAACTTGGAGAGGAAAAACAAGTGTGTGTGACGACAGACAACGGAGCGAATGTAGTGAAAGCCACCGCGCTTAACAACTGGACCAGGCTTTCATGCTTCGGACATCGCCTGCACATTGCAATAGGTAAGTTAATTAAAACGTTAGATGTAGTCTTGTATTCTTTAAAATAAAGGTAGCCAGAACTGTATTGCATGGTGTTGATTTGATTTAAAAATAAATTAATTAATAATTTGTAGTCTAAGGCTGGATGTGGTCAGTTTTGATGCAAATCCTGCTTTGGTTTAGTCCTTGTGTGGCCTCTGTTTGGTTTTTATATTTATAAAAATAAAATTACACAAATGTTAATACCCTTTGGAATGGGCACTTAAAGTTTATATATAGATAAAATAAACTTTAATTGTCACCCATTCCACCCAATAATATTTGTTTTAAATAATAAACTTGGTGTTCATTTTTTTGTCCTTTGTGCCTTTTTAGAAAGAAGCATGAAAGACCCAAGGATTGAACGAGCAGTTGGAGTAGGCAAAAAGATCGTCGCTGCGTTTGGCCACAGCTGGAAGCGCCAACGAGCTCTTCAGGCTGCCCAAAAAGAACTGAGCCTACCAGAACACAAACTCATAACTGAATGTTGCACTCGTTGGGGTTCGAGGCAAAGAATGATCCAGCGACTTCTTGAACAGGAAAAGGCTATAGCACAGGTTTTAGCTGCTGATAAAACCACAAGACACCTCATGTTGACATGGCAAGACATAGAGGTACTTGACTCTCTATCAGCACTGCCTTGAGTCCGCTTCTCGAGTTCACAGATGCTTTTTCTGCTGAAGAATACGTGACCATTTCATGTGTTAAGCCTGTTCTTCAGATTTTCAACAACGACCTGTTAAAAGTAAAAGACAATGACACTCAGCTGACCAAAGACATCAAAACAGCAATACTTGACTACATGAACAAAAGCTACAAAGACAGTGTCACAGAGAGGCTTATTAACATGGCTTCTCTCCTTGATCCACGCTTCCGCACAGAATATCTCAGCGAGAGTGAAAGTGAAGCCATCAAAGTCCAAGCCATCAGTGAACTGGAGCCTCTTGTGTACCAGGGTAGCACAGCTATAGGTTTTTCAGAAACCCCTCCTCCAGCCTCAGGAGACCAGATAAGTCAGGGAGCTGCTAAAAAGCAAAGGAAGAGCCTTGGAAGCTTTTTGAAGGGGTCAGTTAGTGGCAAGACAGATGTAACTGCAGAAAGGTTATTATCTGAACTGAGCAGCTATGTAAATAGTCCAGCAGCAGACAGTGAGTGTGATCCACTTGTGTGGTGGAAAATTCACACAGTAAACTTTCCCCACATCAGCAGGTTAGCCAGAAAATACCTGTGCATTCCTGCTACTAGCTCTGCATCTGAAAGGTTGTTCAGCACAGGTGGAAATGTAGTAACTTGTCAAAGGTCATCCCTGAAGCCCTCAACTGTTAACATGCTGGTGTTTCTGACAAAGAATCTTAAAGCTTGAACATATGAAGCTAACTTCTACCTCCATGCTCAATAGCATTATTCATCCACATATTATTTTTGTTTACCCAAGGGTTTGTGCAATTTTATTATTTCACTTATTTATTTTGCACACTGCAGTTTTATGTTGCAAAGCAACTCTACTTTACTTTTGTGGATATGCTCAGGAGATGTCAACAAATTCAATGCCTTGTGATTTCACAAACTTGTTTCACAATTTACAACTTGTGTAATATTGATTTTGGTACAAAATGATAGTTTTAATGCACATCAAAAACAGCCGCTTGTTTAATTGAAAAGAAATGTTTTCTTCTATTTGCACCAATAAAGCTGTGCAGTTTTGAAATATTTTGTCTAGCTTCAAATATATCATCTGTTATATCGTTATCGCAAATTTTGCTATTTATATCGTGATAAAATTTTTTGACCATATCGCCCTGCCCTAATATGAAAACACGTATGGCGCACCTCCGTGAACACATACTACTGTTATATAAAGCCCGTGGAATGTCTGTGAGCAAAGACACGCTGCAAAGCTGCATATTGGAGAAGATCTGTACACAAGAAGCCGCTAGCATAGCTCTGTTAGCATTAGAGCCGGCCGGCTACTTCCGGTACTTCCGGCTCGCGTCAGGACGTTCTGGTGTGAAGTCCTCTGCGTCTGAAAACTAGAGAATGCGCGTCTGGTGAGCGGGGCTTCAGCGTTTCAGCGTTGCTGGTCTGAAAGCACCATTAAAAAACATGAACATGAAACAGCATGCATATTGTTTGTATTGTCATTTTTAAACAATCAGAAACATGATGAATTTGTTTACATGCATCCAGGCAGTAAACAAAGAGAGGTTTTTTTCCCCCCTCTGTGTCGCAACAACCTTTCTTTAATGTACAAGAACAGTGCTGTAATCCCTAAGATCTGAGTAAACAATTGTAGGGCCTTGGAGCCTGCATAATGGAGCTGCCTTTACATTCACCCTTTCTACTGACCATCTCATCTGCTGACTTCTTATTGCCTTGTAAAAGACTCACAAACACTTTGAGTTTCCCTGAACCAACATCCAAACTGGACTCTATAATCCTCTGCCATTCTATTAATCATCTGACACCCAGAGAGGGCAATATCTATTTTCATCTCGTCCTGATAGGATCTTTTAAGGATTTAAAGAGCGGCCTCCGCATGCTGTGCCCAGCAGCTCAGCTGTGATCTGTGGCTTTGGGGAGTTCTCATTAGGCGTTAGCAGGCCCCAGATCGAAGAAACCTAGTTCTGGCTAGTGGATTTTTAATCCTGCTATGGCCTGTGTTGGGAGATGGAGTTATTTAGGGGCCTTTGATTAGCCTCACTGCTGCACTTTGATTAAGAGACCTTCTGAAGATGCATGGAGCTCTGAGGCTGAAGGAGAAAGTGTGGAGGTGGCTCCTGCTTTGTTTGTTACAGAAGAATGACCTACAGACACAGTATGTGCTGTATCGTTCAGTATAGGGAATATCTTTTTTTCAGTTTATTATCAATATATTGTGTAGGATTTGAAGCCTTAAGGAAGCCGCCAGTGAAGCGACTTAAAACGCCAGAGTTATACCTCCTCTGTTAAGATTGTTGCTTTTTTTTTTTACTAATGAACATGTAAACAAAACTAGATACACACATGTCCAGGGCAGAAATCAAAAGGAAAATATAAAAATCAGTACCAAAGAAAAACAAGTATTCAAATAAATGTGCTGTTCCATATGGTGTTGTTGGTGGCTTTCTCTACTAACATGTACAGTACCTCGCTGTTGACAGTTTCCACATGGGATAAGAGAAGCTTTACGGCATGGTTCAAGTAGGGCGCAGGGTGTTACAGTAGTGATTGCATCTTTTAGGTTGGATATTCCTTCATTATAGCTATGATGTGCAGGTATTGGCTTTATTCAAGTGCTTTGAAAGAAGGCTTGTCAAACATTACTCTTAAATTCCAGTGCCGCCAGGAGCTACACTAAGACCCAGATCATTAGAAAATTTAGAAAAACAGCATAGATTTTTAAAGGTTATTTTACTAACTCACGAGAAGTCAATGCAGCAACTGGTGTAATGTGCTCCCGCCCCTGCTCTCAGCCAGAATACGTGATGCTGAGTTTTTTGGGGAAGACCAGAGATTACAGCATTTCAGTATAGATACGACTTGAAGAAAGCATACAGTACATCTGCTTCTCTGACTCTCCATGTTGGTCCCTATTTAAAATAGTTGTAAAACCTTTTTTTTCTCTGCACAGTTCAGTCGGTTGACACCTGCACAGTTCACAGACGGTTGTGACTATGGCCTGTCACTTCAGGGGAGATATAAGGCTCGCAGTGGGCAGGCCTTGTCACTGCTCCTTTGATTCCTGCTCAAGTTTGTACTGATATCTAAGGTGTTGACACTTTGCCCTCTAAGCCTGATTTCTTTTCGCTGGGATCAGGCCGGCTCACTGATAGCAGATTATCGCAGCAGCATTTTGTGGCCCAGCTGGCACACTCATTTGTTATTGTCTCTGGATGTACAGTCGGGTTCTGTTTGCAAATATGTTGCCATGAATGTAGTTTGAAATACAAAAGGTTATGAGGAAACTTTAGATAGTTTTTACAGTGAATACACCTTTCCTCAAATTAATCACACCTTTTCATAGCTCTTATGTGTTTTGATTTGCACATTAGGCAAGCAGGGAAGTACACTTATATGTTTTGATAAAACACATCAAAATATTTTACATAAAACCAAAATTTATGAAAGAAGGCCATGGAAGAATGGCCAGCCTAAAAGCAAACATGTCAGATGCCCTTAGGAACAAAGTCTATTATGGATTCAGTATTGGCAGGATATCAGCTCATGATTGGTATCGGACCAATGAAAATATTATTGAATGAGGAGCAAAAAAGACTGGATTGAGACATCCCTAGTTGCCAGCCTTTCTGACAATTTCTTCAGATTGGATGAAGAAAAATATGTTTTTGTCCAGATTATTATCTTTGAACTTTGTCTATAATGTAAGGGAAATATTATCAGCAAATGTGATCATATGCAAATCATATTGTTGGTACATTGGTACATCTATAATATGTCAAACTCATTCACACCTAAAGTGAAGAAAGAAAACTGTCAGTGAAACTACAGTTTGTCTACTAAACCATCCTAGCACTTCACTATGTCTGAACATTTTGTAACCTTTGATTCAGTCACTCTCTAGAGTTTGTCATCAATATCTTCCACAACTTCCTCTGTGAAGGTTGAACAGCATGTTTGTACATCAGTAAAGTTAGTCTAAGATGAGAAACATGTCAGGCCCAATTAAAAGGCAACACTGGTGTCGCCTGACGCAAAGTGACAGAATTCAGATTCAGTAAACAAAAATAAGAGCGCCCAAACATCCCAAAGTAGTTCATGCTAAATATGTTTTTTATATCAATGCCATTTCTGCCAATGTGTCCTTGCTCCTATGATACTTTGATATATGTGGTCAAACCTCTGGAGTGCTGACAAGCCTTTGATACTAGAAGGGCACAAAATAATATCTTCTCTTTGAAAAACAATTTCAGTGAGATGAGATCAGTGTAAATAGGGCTTTTTATGTGCACCAGGGGCCGCTGTGATTCTGATGGGGATTTTGATAGGCTTTTTTAAATGGCAATGCAAAATTGATGAGTGGAGAGGCCTGCGCTGTTGTCGCGTGGATGGAGATGTGACTGCATCAGGACATCAAGGCCTCACATACACACACACACACACTGAATGCATGCAAATATGAACAGTAGACAGGCATAGAAATTACACAAACACAATTTTGGCCATGAGGGCTGAAGGCTTAATCGAGGTGGAGATATCCGGAGAGTAACTGGTCGTCTGTGGTTGTACCTCGACTGGACTCTCTTCCGTCCCTTCTTCTACAAAAGCTATCTGTGCTACAGTATCTGTTATCTCCTCACAACTGCACTGCTCTCCTCCACTTTGGCTGTAGTGCCCCTCTCCAATCTTGATGGTTATTGAGGAATGTAAGAGAAGAGTTGCCTGATAAAGCTGTCTAATGAACATACAGGAACTTTAGTAAGTTAAGCATCAAAACATCGAAGGCTGTTTGAACTTTGACACCTCTGCATTAGCGGTGAGTCCTTATCAGGCCTCTCGAGCGTAGAGATTAGCCACTTCCTAATGAAGTGGTGAAATCGTAAAGGTCTTACTCCGAGGCACAGTGGATTGCTTCCAACATTTTTCACTCTGTTATCTCTCTTACCCAGATTGCCTGAAAAGGAAAAAAAGTGAAGGTCTTCAACCCCTCCCCCCTTTGGATTTTCGGTAACATATACAAAAATATAACATCTGATCAACAGATGACAGAGACACTACTCTCAACATTGACATATAGTCATATTGATGTATCATATTCAAAATGTTGTTAAAACCTTTGCGCAGTGGGCTGATGTCATTTGACCAAAAGTGTCTAAACACTCGACTGTCATCTCTAACAGTTATTATGAGCATCTCTAAATAGCTGTGGCCGCCCGTATAACTTGTTCCTCCGCAAAGAACTCTCCACAGCAGTGGTCTCAAACACGTGGTTTTTTTGTGGCCCCCTAGTGGAAATATGGCTAATATGGCATAATGATAGAATAGTATGGCTAAATATGGGGGGACACTAGCAAAGGCCCTAGTGGGGGATATCCCCGCCTCAAAGTATCCCAAAATATTTATCCAACATGACAGATGTTATTGTGGCAGGGCAGGGGCGGTGGGTACCTTAACAGATTCAAACATTGCTTTACTTTCTCAGTTGAGGCACGTGCGGCAACCAATCAGAGAGCAGCAAAGTGGTCTCGGGGAAACAGCCGGTCAGAGCAGGAAGACGAAGAAACTCAAAAACGGCCCAAAAAAAAGCTAAATGAGCACTAAACCCGGATTATGCCAGGACTGACAATGGGGGATGCAGTGCTTGTGAACGTATGCCTTTGACTCCATTCTACCGTGGTTGGATACAATGGCTGCAAACGTGATAATAAGATACATCCATGGCGGTGCTCTGTGAGTAGATACTCCTGTAATCTGATGTCTTTGGAGGATCTCGGGACCCAAACACGTCACAGAGTTGCACTTGTGTTGAAGAATATTGCACAAAAGGCTGCTAGCTGAAACTTGTTAGCATCAAAGCCCGCGCCCCACCAATTTGCCCTTGGTGGGTGGTGGGAATGATTCATTCGTCTGGACCCTTCATTACTTGACACTGCGGTTCTTGCTAAATAACTAACTCAACTCGATCACTTTAGGACACATGTATAGGCCATAGCGTACTGTGGAAACTTCATTTTGAGGTTGTTGGTATTCATTTTTTAGGAAAGACCCCGGTCTGGGGGGTCAAAAAATAATTTGAAACCTTGATATTCAATATATATTACCAGTCAAGTTACTTCTAGAAAATGATTTATTTAAGTAAATTAGAGATATAACAGAAAAAAATTGTCAACATATATTTTGTATAGTAATAAGGAGCTGTTGGGAGCACGGTAGCATTATCTAAACGATCCCCTGTGTTTTAGTCAATCAGGGGACTGCAGACTACTTATAAATCTTACATGACTCTCCATACACCGCAGAGGTCAGACACACATTGCATATTCACAAGTTGCATTAACACACTCGTCTTCTCTCTAGCTCTGTCTACCCCTCTTTGCCAGTCAACACTTGTCATAACGTCAGATTATCATACAAATAGATTAGATGTATGCAAATTAATGAGGATGCAGAGATGAACCATGTGCATAATGAATAAGGTCTTTAACGATTACCAGTTTTTACTAGTGCTAACATTGGTAGTATTGTTGATGGACAAGAGGATATGACAATCTTGACTGTTGCACAATCACCACTATTATTCACGAAAGGCCTCTCAGATTTAACCCGAATGAGGCCATATTGAATAATTTAGGCTTGATAAACTATGTGTTTGTTGTTTTGACAGAAAGAAAAGTAAATGCAATTTATTGGAAATAATCTTCTTTTTATAATCATTTTTGTATGATGCCCAACCATTTATTCTAAAACAATGAAAACATAATAATTCCTTGGGAAATGAGACCATGCAAAGATTGTGTTTCACTATTTGTATTCAATAAGTTCACACACCTTTTATAGAACCTTTTTTGCCATGTAATGTGCTAAGCTACTGTTGAAAGCCATGTAGATTAAGAAATCTTTTTAATGTACCTTCTCCCTGCACTTTTTAGTATGATGCATATTCAATAAGATGCATTATTCACAAA